ACAAAATTGCTATTTTTGAAATTTGGCCACGTGGCGCAGAAATAGGAGGTCTTTAGACCGAGCCAACCATAGTAAAACCTTGCTTACAAAAAGGAATTGAACTCAACAACAATCAATATTTTGAAAAGTCATTTTACCATGATAAAGTTTGAGTTTCAATTAGTGTTGGTTTCCAAAACTAGAGAGTTTCGCAACCGTGCGAAAGTCAAAAGATTCGCCATAAGTTTTGATTTTTGACTATTGACTTTTAATTTTAGTTTTGACTTTCGTCTCTTCAAAATAATTTTGGCGACCAACACTAGTTTCAATCTATCCAATTACAGAGTTATGTAACATCAGGATTTTAGATGCAATAAATGGTACGGTATTTAATTTTTTTGACAAAAATGACGAATTTGATCAAAATACTACTACATCTTAGCAACATACTACTTCTGAAGAATCGATTTTACATGATAAATAACCTTACTCTTGAAAGCTCTTTTATAACAGCAAAATCTTTATTGCAAAGACAAGGTGTATATATATATATAATTCATGTTTTAATAAATTATTTCTAATTGTATAATTATTCTCCAAAAGCAATTGACTGTTCAAAACTCTTATCAAACTTTTGTCTCAAATACATATTCCCTTGGCTAGTTGTGATCAATTACATTACACATCTAATCAATCAGTTAATACGCCTGCTTCAGCAAGTGTATCTGATTTACAAAAACGAAACGAAATACTTGGTCGATTTCTTTTCAGAAGTATACCATAAATTTGCAATTTTAAATTGTTTATTTTATTTTATCTAGTTTAATTTTATTATTTTACAAAAGAACGGCGGAAATGTAAAAAAAAAAATGACAAAATGAATAAATAATACAAGAAAAAGATTTAAGTACATATTATAGAAATATTGTATAAATAGTATACGCTGATGTTATTTTGTATCTAAATAATAAGGCAGCCAAATGGCTTAATAATGTTTTTTGCCCGATAAATCGGATCAATAAATGATTAATTAAAGTGATTATTATTATTCAAGATATTTGAGAGATTTCTATTTATATTTTGAATTTTATTAAGATGTCCAGCCAAAACACTATATTCATTCAAAATCTCTGAAAGGTTTTTATTGATGGCGTTTAAAATTAGAATCTTACGATCAATACTCTCACCTAGTACATTATTATTGTTGTTGTTGTTGTTATACGGAAATCTTGAACCAAATTGTGTTTGATCACTTGATTGAGGATTAATCAGTCCATTTCGATGGTGATTATAATAGCTTACTTGAGAATTCGAAGCCGTAAGTTCTCTTTGCTGTTGTGTAGTTTGAGAATGCGGCAGTGATGGCGGATATTGGATCTGCTGTTGTGGTGGTAGTAGTCCGATTGGATATAAATCAAAAGTATTACTAATGTTGTTTTTGTCGTTGTCGTCGTTGTCATTGTCGTCGTTGTTGCTTGGAGTTATTTTCGAATTTGGAAAATGGGCAGCTTGAGAAGACGTGACAAAATTATCAACAATATTATTCATGTTATTCATATTACTCATGTTACTATTAATTGTATTAGCTTGATTATTTTGTTGAGGAGTAATGGGCTCATTCTGATGATGGCTTGGATGAGGATTTAGCGTAAAAAAAGGTTGAGGCTGTTGTGTTTCAACAAATAAATGTTGTCCGTGTAAAAATTGAGAATGTGAAAATTCAGGTTGAGGCGAAAGTAAAAATTGAGAACGAGTTAAAATTACAAAAGGATCATTATTAATATTATTTAAATCGGTAGTCGAAGCATTTCCGCCAGAAGTGTCAATATCAGACGTGTAAGTAGAACGGGTCGAAGCAAAAATATTATTTTTTTGATCATTCATTTTTTGATTAAAAAAAATTTTTTTTTTGAAAAAAAGCAAGAAAGAAGGATTGGTTTATATACGTTTCAGAAAATTGAAAAAATTTTTTTTTAACTTTTTAATAGATCGATTTGTAATTTGAATGAATGTTACTTACTGGACTGATTAGGAAATTAATTATTTGGTTCTTTTCATAATATGCATTTAAAATCATAATAATAAACATTCGAAAAAGAAGGCAGAATGAAAGTGAGCTATTACTTTAGTAAAAAGTGGATGATAAAATATAATATGGGTTGGAGCATATCACGTTACACGATTTATATATATATTAATTATATTGGTCATACACAAAAGAATAAATTGTTAAAAAAAATTTTTATACCAAATTAATAATTAACTTTCAAATATATTAAAATGTCAAACATTCCAATGATCATTGGTTTGTCTGTTGATGAAGATATAGAAGAGATTAAAAGACCACATATTAGTAAAACCATTGACCCTAAGTGGTTTGATGATTATCCATGGTTTGAGACTGAATCTGTTAATGGAAATACAATTTTATACTGTAAAGTTTGTAGAAATTGCAATTGGGAAACAGTACTTGCAAGAGGCATAATCTTTATTAAGGATAGATAGAATTAAAAACCATATGAAAACCACTGAGCATAAAAAATCTGAAGAATTACCTAGATCGAATATTTCAAGACAATTAAGCACAGAAGAGTTAGAAATTATTTCTAAAATGAGAATTGTTTATTGCTGTTCAAAATAATATTTCTTTAAACACTTATCCTGATTTATGCAAATTAAAATCTCTACAAATTGAAAATAAGAAAGAATTAATAATTAGTAATAAAACCACTACCTTGAAACCCGCCTCTTTAAAAAACCATCACCATCTAAAACAAAATATGGAAGTTATAATAATCATGCACCTGCTGTCGAATTCTTAGATAGTATAGCATATGTAATTAAAAAATCACTCTTTGGAGAACTAAATTCTTCAATTTATTGAAGTGTGATGATTGGTGAAGCCAATAGTGGGCAAATATATCATCAATAATATGCCATACATGAAATATTTGGGTATGATTAATTTAGACACAACTGATGGTGAAAATATATTTAATCAGATTATATCCTTTTGCACATCAAAAGAGATATCTTATCATAATATTATTCATTTTGGAAGTGATGGTGCTTCTAATATGATTGTATGAATTGATATTTAATTAAGTGAAATTTTTTTTTTTTATGTTAACTAATCAAAATTTTAATTAATAGGATATTTAAATGGTGTTGCAGCAAGATTTAAAAAAATCAATCCATTCATGACCTCAAATCATTGTATATCATATAGACTTCATCTAGCTGGCAAAGATGCATCAGAAGAGGTCACTTATTTTGGAAAATATGAAAAAACTTTAAAAAATTTATATAGCTATTTTTCAAAATCTCATAAAAGACAACAAATATTAAAGTTGATGCAGCTAACTATATTTGTATTTTTATATATTTTATTCATTTATTTATTCCTAATTTTTAATAACCTTCATCATAATTAGAAAATTAATGAAGAACCATCACTTGTAATATTAAATAAGTGCAATACTAGGTGGTTATCATTTTCAAATTCTGTAAGTAATTTACATAAAATCATGAAATCTGTATTATCTACCCTGAATGATTATATTAATGAAGGAGATAAACTTGCAGAAATTTTATATGAACAATTAGATGACACTTTTATTTTAGCAACAATGTACCATGCTGATTTAACAAATATTTTAAAGAAATTAATCAATACATTCCAGTTGGAACATTTATCCATATCTCATTTAAATTAAACTTGATATTGCAATTAAAACAGTTTGAAACTGAATTTATAGGATCTGAAGAGATTCCACCAAAATATTCAAAGAATATTTAGAAGATAACCATAATTCTATCCCATCATTTGTTAGAGAATACTCAATTGCAACCATTAATGCCATTAAGAACAGATTTCTAGAATCTGAATTATATAATGCTTTAGTATTTTTGATCTAAAAGAACTTCTGGATGATGACAGAGAGTTAGTCTTATATGGAAATCAAAAAATAGAATTTTTAGGTAACTTTTATGGAGAAAATAAATTTGCAAATGAAAATGAATTTAGTGCAATATTTGATAAAGAAAGACTTATAACAAGAGTGAAATTTAGTTAAATATTATCTTCAGATCTATAAAAATAATAATAGAGAAATGTATTTATTCAATTATGGCAACATATTTTGGATACTGATGATGATTTTTCTTTTAATAATCCAACTATAGTATTAGTTGTTAAAATAGCACTACTTATGCCTCTTTCTAATGCTCATGTAGAAAAAATATTTTCTCAAATGAAATTAATTAAAAATAATTGAGGAATAAAATGCATTTAAATACATTAGATAAACATTTAATGATTTTATTAAATGGCCCAGAAATTGATGACTTTGATTTTTTAAAAGCATATGAGAATTGGGAAAGTAAAAAAAACAGGGAGAAATAATTAATTTTTTTATTTTGTAAAATTATTGTGAAAATTTCAAAGTTATGTGCACACATTATGTGTAACGTGATACGTTCCAACTGAATTTTCAACACTGTTACGGAATGATTATGAGATTAATTTCAAAGATCTTGTGGTTGTTGTGCAATGAACCAAAAAGGTTGCTCAGAAACAAAAACAGCTCATTGGAAACCATTGATATTTATTCTATTATGACAGCCTTGATCTTCAGCAGAGCTTCTCTTGATCTTCTACATGGCACACAGCCACCCCAGTCACTGTATGTATCCCACTGGCTAACTTGATGAACATAGTTGATGACAAGATAATAAATGATCAAAGTTTTAAGCAAGTAAAAAATATTCAAGAGACAAATTGGTTTGTTTTTTATTTATTTTTTATTTATACATCCCAAATCAAAGGTCAAATTGATTGATTAAATGTTTTTTTCAAGTCTATATCACTATAGAAGAATAAATTTCGATTGTTAAAAAAATCAACTAAGCTTTTTTTTCCTTAATTAAAAAAAAAAGATCCTTTGCAAGGAACCCCTCACATGAATCAAAAGCTATTTGTGAATTTCAATTTTTCCTAGTATTTATTTATTTTATCCCAGATTAAAGGTCAAATTGATCAATTAGGTGTTTTTTCAAATCTATACTATAGAAGAATAAACTTCAATTGTTAAAAAAATCAACCTTTTTTTTCTTAATTAATCAGCATGTTCATAATTTTTCATTAATCAATGATTTATTGTTTTCTCCAAAAGGGAATCAAAAAAAGATTTGTTTTCTCTGAAAGGAAATTTCTGAAATGGTCAAAATCCAAAAAAAAAATTTTTTAATTATTGTTTGTTTATCAAACATTAAAATTGACAACAAAATAAAACTAACATGTTGCCGATCCTTTGATGATCTGAGGTAAGACAAGACCATCAGTTTTTGGTCATTTTGAACAGTCCGAAACATCAGAGCAAGACAAAGACTTAATGGTAGACAGTGTTGACACCATGCAAAAAACATCTAAAGTAAACATGATTTCCTTTCAACCCTGACGCTTTGAACCAAATTTTTCAGTTTCACAAATCATGACAAGCAGATAGCAATTGGGATTCGTACTGTGAGATAGTAAATCTTGGACCTATCAATTACCCGGTTAATATTGACCAATTAGAACGAAATTTACTACGGAGGTCATGTGATATACTAAATATTATTATTGTAACGGCTACGCCGCACATTGTGCAGTGTCATATGAAAGATTATATTTCTATATTTATATTTATTAACCTACTTATCTGATGTAAATATTTATTTAGAATTAGTAATTAGTTGATAAGCACATTATTGGAGAGTAGGGTATCACATATCACATTATTTGTACTGCCCCAAGAGGTATAAATACACTTGGCTTTGGACCAAGTTAATAAGAATAATTAATTAATCAATTGTTAATATTGTTGATAACTACCTTGATAACAACATAATAATAACTCTTAATAAATATATAACCTTACATAAAATAGTCTTTGACTGTAAGTAACTAATAAACCCAGTGTGATTGACCCCCAGCCCTTCTAATGGTTAATGGTCTGGCCAACCTTTAATTATTAGTTGGGAACCCTTTTATCCAGGAAGATAAAAGTTATTTTTATTATTAATCTTTGACTGTAAGTCAGCAGATAGGCTGTGTGTTGAGCATTAAATAACCTATTAATTAGGAAACTCGAATTGCATGCTCACAGCATGATACAGTGATGTAAAAATAACCACAACCATTTATCATTTTTGGAAATGAAAATATTTCTGTTTAAATTTCAATTTTATTAATTAACAAATTTCAAACCAATTTGCAAATCATTTCAAGCCAGTGCAGTAAAGAAAAAAAAAAGACTCATCACAAAGTTTTACCCTTTGATTTTGATCTCTTCCTTCTCCAAAAATTCAGTTTACCAAAGTTGAGAAACAGGACGTTTAGATTTGTTTCATGGTGATTTGTACTGAACTGACTGAACCATCAGGAAATTTTTTCTGATGCAGATTTACATAATTATTACACTATTTACGTAAGTTTACAGCAGGCCCATAATATTATGCAAATAAGCATACAAAAATTATACAATTATTACATTGAGTGTAAATATTACATAAATATTGCAACTTTACATATTAAAATTTATGGACATAATATTGCGGCGGGGAAAATTTCCTGATGACTGAATCTGAGTCTTCTTTACAACGAATTATTTCCCATGCAACCAAACATTTCAAAATTGGGTAAAGTCATTAGATTAGGGAAACATATGGTGCTGATCCATCTATAATCATTAATTGCTTATAGCAACAATTGGTCAACTTCAAAATACTAAAACAAAAAATAATTGTATCATTTTAAAAAATTTAACTGATAAGTTTTATTTTTCATGACCCAAGCTTCAAAACTTATCAGCTGGTTTTTTCTTAAACTGAAAATTGGCTGA